GAAAAGAAAAAACAAAAGTAATGAAAATTTCGAGACAACCAACCCCAGTCACAATAAAGATAGACCAAAAACAACTGGAGAATGTGAAATGTTTTAAATATTTGGGTAGCTTGTTAACAGATGATGGAAGGTGTACTTGTGAAATTAAATCTAGGATTGCCATGGCAAAAGCTGCATTTAGCAAGAAGAACAATCTTTTTACTAGCAAACTGGACTTAAATTTGAGAAAGAAACTAGTGAAATGCTACGTTTGGAGCACTGCTTTGTATGGGGCTGAAACTTGGACACTTAGGGCAGTAGATCAGAAACACCTGGAAAGCTTTGAAATGTGGTGCTGGAGAAGGATGGAGAAGATCAGTTGGACCGATTATGTGAGAAATGAAGAAGTGTTATTTAGAGTCAGTGAGCAGAGGAATATCCTATACGAAATAAGAAAATGGAAGGCTAATTGGATTGGTCATATCTTATGCAGTAACTGCCTTCTAAAAGAAGTTATTGAAGGAAAGATAGAGGGGCGGATAGAAGTGACAAGAAGACGAGGAAGAAGACGTAAGAAGATGCTGGATGACCTTGGGGACGAAGAGGATATTTTCGTTTGAAGGAGAAAGTTCTAGATTGCATCAAGTGGAGGAACTGTTTTGGAAGAGACTGTAGACCTGTCATCTTGACAGATTACTGATGAATGAATGAATTTGGAAACTACTGAACATATTTTCTTTACTTCACAACAAGATATCATCTACGTTAAGACACACAGGTAAAAAACCAGTGCACTAGAACTGAAATACTTATGCAGACAACAAATATCATGAATAAAGACATAAACCAAACAGATTCCGCAATGTTTCTTGTCCTTCATCAGAATTTATGCAGCAAAAAAAACAATTTCAGAACTTCGAAGTTTTGAATTTGACAAAATTTTCTTAAATAAATCTTTAGTCACAGAAAGTAGGCTGTAACTTATAAGGTTTCATACATCAAACCTACTTCCTGAGCCTACTAGAATGTAGGTTGGAATCTTGTAACCATGTGAAGTGTTGACAAAACCATATTACACAATCTAAGCTTGCACAAAGTAATAGATATTCAATAATTTATATGAGGGTTGGAACTTTAATAGTGGCAACTATTTATTTACAATTGATACAAAATAGATGCATGTTTCGAAGTTTTACTGTCCCTCACTGTAGTCACCAGCACTGTGTACAACCCATTGCCAGTGATGTGGAAGTCATAGGATACCTTTAGCAGCGCCTGTTGTGTTGACAGTTCAAATGGAGCAGTCTACTGCCTGAAGAATCTCTGGAACAGTTCTGTAGCGAATGCCACGAAGTGGTTTCTTCATCTTAGGAATCAAGTCAAAGTCACAAGGGCTTAAGTCTGGGGAGTATGGTGGATGGTACAGCACTTCCCAGCCCCATCAATCGAACAAATCAGCCACAGCTTGCACTGCATGCGGCTGAGCACTGTCCTGCAAAATGATGGATGGGTTCTGCAGAAAGTGTCACCGCTTCTTTCTCAAAGCTGGTTGCAGGTCGTGTTCCAAAAATGAACAGTAATACTGTGCACTGATGGTCTGCTGTCGGGGAATGGTATGCGTTAGGATAATACCATCACAGTCGTACACGAGAATCACCATAACTTTCAGAATGCTGGGGTTCCGACAAACCTCTGATTTACGTGGTGACCCATAATGATGTCATACATTCATTTGTGGCTCGTACAATTTGGCCCATGTCTCATCCAGCGTAATGATACAGCATAAGAAAGCCTCTCCTTTGTGATCATAGTGCTCCAAGTGGTTACAAGCAGCGTTGTATTGCAGCCATTTCTGCATTTCTGTTAAATCATGCGGAACCCATCGTGATGCAATTTTTCTCATGCCCAGGCGTTCCTTCAGAATGTGAAGCACAGTCGTATGTGGTAATCCTGTCTCTCGGGCCAGCTCACAAATCGTATGACGTCGATCACTCTCCAGTAACGTGGAAAGCACATAAACTTCTTCTTCACCAACACTAGGACAACCTGGCCAACGCATGTCTGCCACATTTTGGCATCCCTCATTGAAGGCTTTTACCCACCTTGACACTGTTGTGCTGTATGGCCTCTGGCACATGCAGTCTTTATCCAACTCCATTGTTCCTGTATCGAAAACATCATGGCAACACTACATTAAACCGCCAGCTAACATGAGGCTCTGTTCTTCTCGTCACTGTGCATGCACGTGATGTCAGAAGGGAGAGTCCATTTGCTCTGAGGTAAGGTAGGTATCTAACTAACGTTTGGTATAAGCAACATTATTTGGTTCTGTTGCGTGGCGTCTCTACAGCGGTGTTGCAACTATTAAAGTTCCAACCCTCGTATAAAAGATTCTTTACATTCTCTTATATTACTGAAGCATTAATCATTTGGAGAATATACAAATAAACAGAAAATCATTTACCTCATTACACTCATCAACCAAGATAAAGAAGAGGTCGAATCTTGACATGATTGGTGCTGTGAGAGCGATATTCTGTTGCAGTGACTTTGCTCTATCATAGCGACCACCTATTGGATTTGCTGCAGCAAGGATTGAAGTTCTAGCATTCAGAGTAGCTCTTACACCAGCCTGCAAAAACAAAACACTGTTACCATTCTACTCTCACATGCACTGAGTACAAATTACAGCAATGATGCACTTACCTCTTTGACACCAGAAATTCGCCTAATAACATTTAAACTCAGTCCCCACCTCAAAGTACATTGCATCTACATCACAAGATTAACTGGTTAAGTTGTTAATGCGTAGCGACTAGCTACAGGCTGGACAAGCGAGGGGTCAGAGTTAGAGTCCCGGTAGGGTCAAGAATTTTCTCTTCTCCACATCATCCAGACCAGCTCTTGGGTGCACTCAATTTCCTATCTAATGGGTACCAGGGGCTCTTTCCCTGAGGGTAAAGTGGCAGGGGTGTGAATCTGACCACTCACCTCCAGCTAATGCAGAGGTCAAGAAAATGTGGATCTATACATCCACTCTTTCATACGCTTTCATGGTGTAGTGCTTAGTTTGTTAAGTACAGGGACTTTATCTTTTTACCCTTGCCATTCTATAGCATGAATATAGATATTTCCTCCATCATGCTATAAAAGATCAAAATATTAAACAGATTTTTAATATTAAAGAATCATAACAATTAAACAGTGTTGAATTTTAATACATTTTTAATGTTTTAAGAAGGTTACACTAATAAATATAACAGCACTAGAAAATGCATCATTCCAAACATAATCTGACAAAGAATTTCTAAACCTGCAAGAAAGAGCACACATGAAGGAAACTGGTGAATTGTGAAATTTCATAATATGCTGTGATATCTAGTGTTTTATAACCTGACTACCCTTTCTGGGGGTTGAAACATGTAGTGGGTAAGGGAACTGCCAAAAGAAGTAAACAATGCACAATGAAACCTCAGTGTAAGGTTTAACTTTGGACCAACAGTTCTGAACCCTAAGCTCAGGAAAATCTTATAGAGGTCATGTATCAATGTGAAATTTAACATTAAATGAGGGAAGACCTTAAAATGAGGAACATCAAATGGGGGTTCCACTGTATGCTGTATGTTCTATAAAATTAACTGCATACTGTAATTGTTGTTTGTTCTGGAAGATACTACTGTAATGACATAAGCATGCAGTCCATCTGACTGAGCATTATATTTTTCAACAATAACGTTATCTTGATGTTAAAATGTGGCCATCAGCCTTATAATAAAAGAGGATTTAAGCTCCACTCTTTCTGGACAATAAAAGTTAATACACTATATTTGGATAATGGAAGTCCACATGTACTCCAACAGTAAAATTTATGGATTCGCATACCAGTCACAGGTACAAATTATATTTGGCATTAACATGCTGATCAATTTGTACAAATGTGTTTTGAACATTTAGAGGGTGTGAACCAACATGTGGCATCTTAGAAGGAGTTGCCAAAGCCAGCAGAAGACTGGGTGAAGGCAGGTCATAAAAAAGCTGGGAGTCCACAGCAAAACTCAAGCATGTGAAGAGATTAATCCAAATACCCTATCCAAAAAGGACAATATAGGGACAAACAGAGATGAGTGACAGGACAGTGTCATCTGAAAGGGCACCTTTTCAATAGTGGCATTAGTAAATAACCCACATGTAAGAGGTGCAGAACAAAGATCACACAGCCTCATATGTCATACATGACTGTCAAGAATTAAGACCATTTTAGATTTTATAATCTGGGTCATTATTTCATGGAACCAGGCATTTAAGTGCCCTATTAAGAAAGGTAATCATTGTATAAGCATCAGTTAGGCCCACCCTTCACCCAATCAGTGCACCAAGAATCTGTTACTCATTGAGGCTGTGCCATAGCTCAAGCAGTTAGTCGTTGGCTTCCCATGGTGGCGGCCCAGGTTCGATCCCAGGTCTAGTATCGTGGGATTCATGGTGGACAATGTGGCGCTGGGGCAGGTTTTCTCCGAGTACTTTGGTTTCCCCTGTCAATATTCATTCCATAAAATTCTCCATCATCATAATCACCCAGGGCAGGTATAATAGGCCAATCAGTGGCCGCCGTGCTGAGTGGACCCAGTTGGATTCCACCCCCCACTAAGTGAATCTGTTACTCATCAGAATAAAATTGGTTCATGTCTCAAACTAACGCCTGTCTAAGTGTGCATATCAAATGCCAGTCAAAACAGTATGTACAAGAAGTGTGTGTAAGAAGCAATACATTTATGGAACTCAGTTACAGTGTTTGGAAACAAAGTATCTGAATTACAAACATTAGGCATATACAATATCACTCTTTCAGGTCAAGGCAAGGTCAGTATGAGAATTTGGATAATTTCAAGAATTGAGAATGATAATTTTCTCTATCAGACTGATTTTCTTCTCACAACAAAGACTACTATTGGCAGACACATCTACCAGCAGCATTAATACTACCTGCAGTGCTTCATCTGTTCAGATCATCAGTGCAAAACTTCCTCTTCGTTATGCAGAAAACTGCTAATTTATCAGCATGTGATATCTGACTATTCAAAGCATAAGTACCCATTAAGCTACATTCTAAGCCGCTCAGCAAAGCAACACAAATGACGGCATAGGGGATTTTGTATTCAGGTAAATATGATCACGATCTTAGTGACTAAAGACAAGGTTTTGATTGGTAATCAGATTTATCAAACACTTTAACACACACATCATGACTACACTTTGCACCACACTGTTACACCCACTAGCCCTTGCTTGGTAGCTGCTCCCACCAGCGGACGTTCCCCTTCCTCTGGCTCCTCGAACCGTCCACAGCCTAGGCTACAAGCTTCTAACAGCAACAGCTCACAACAACTGAACCCCAGTAGTAATTTATCTAATGCAATAACTCACCAACCGACCCCACTAAAGTGACTGACTGAACACACTCCTCAATAACTGTCCTCCTTATAACATCTCAGCATGGACCACAAAGAAAATACAAGGTAGTTCAAATATGACCGGGACTGATTTGTGTGTAAACAAGCCGCACTGTGCAGCAGATGTGCGACCTTGAGAGAGTGAAGCCACAACCTCCACCCTCCCTCCTGTTCGGGTTAGAACCCGTTCAGTTGGGGAGTTGCTAGAATGATGAGAGAACAGAAGGTACTGCGGAGCGTGGAACAACGCATTGTGATCAAATTCCTCATTGGAGAAAATGTCCTGTCTGCTGAAATTCACCACAGACTCCAACAACAGTATGGGGAAGTGTGTCTCTCATGGACCCGTGTGTTTGAGTGGTGTAAGTGCTTCAAAAGGGCAGAGAGTGCGTGGAGAATGAACCGCATGATCGTCAACCACGAACATCCATCACCGATCCAAACACTGATCGTGCAGACATGCTTATCCATGAGAACAGGCGCATCACTATCAAGGAACTTGGAGCAATGCTGTCCATCAGTGTTGGTAGTGTAGAAGACATCGTGAAATACCCTGCACTATCGCAAGATGAATGCACAGTGGGTACCACACACTTTGATGGACGTGAACAAAATGGTGCACATGCAAGCTGCCAGTCGTCTCCTATAGCAGTTTGAAGATGAAGGTGATGCATTTTTCAGTCTCTAGTGACCACCAATGAAACATGGGTGCACTACTTCATTCCCGAGTCCCAGCAGTCTTCACGCGAGTGGCAGCATAGCACTTCTCCCACACCCAAGAGAGCACGGAGGAGCCGTTCAGCAGGAAAAGTGATGACAGAGGGTTATCCATGTAGACTTTCTGACAGATGCCAGAACAGTCAATGCAGCTTATTACTCAGACCTCCTGGCAACAGATGGGAAGGAAAAGATCCGATCCAAGCGGAAGACGGGTGGAAAGCAGGTAGCCTTCCTTCAAGACAATACACGCTCCCATATGGCCAAAACAATGGAAACCCTCCGGAAATTGAAATGGAACCTTCTGACACATCTGCTGTACAGTCCCAATTTGGCCCCAAGTGATTTCTACCTGTTCGGAAAGCTCAAATCAGACTTGCAAGGCATGCAGTTTGTGGACGACGCCGTCATCCAGACAGTTCAGGAGTGGATACGCCGCCAACCACAAGCCTTTTTTGAAAAGGGCATCAGGATGCTTCCAGATTGTTGGAAAAATGTGTTGACTCCGGAGGGGAGTACATTGAAGACTGAAATGTGCAAGTAAGTGTTTGGCAATTATGGTTTAAAAAAAATCAGTCCCGGGCATATTTCAACCACCTTGTACCATTCCTCTCTTGCTGTTTATGGGCCGTTGCCTGGTAACAGTTGTTGTCTAGATGTTCGTTTCATAGTCATTGCCTTGCAATGAGTCTATATGCCACATTACTCCCTCCTTAAGGCTATTCATCCCAAAAAACCTACAGGCTTACCACCATTTCTTCTTTAGCAAGGACTGTGCTTGTGACATTGGTGATCAGCCTCACTTTCCTTCCCCGTGTCTTGGTTTTTGAGGTGATTAGTTAGTCAGTTATTGGAGAGGGTGGGTTTCCCCATGCACTTAGACCTGTATTGGTCCATTGTGCTTCCCTCTATGATTTCTACCAGTCTCTATATCCTACTGGTGCTTACCATCAGTCCCGCCCAGCCAGCGAGACCGGCTCCACTAGCTGAGAGGTATTTATAATGCTTCCCCCATCTACCAGAGGTATTAGAGACTGCTGCTGGGCGGGAAATGTCCGTAAATTTGGCTCAGTGACCTCCTTTGGAGATATGAGGTTCTTTTACGTGCCGTAAAGCTACGACATGGGACCCATGGCTTAAAGTACCTCCCGGAGGACTTGTTCCCTGAATTTTTCCACCCTTAAAAATTCGACGACCTCCGCCGGGTATTTGAACCCGCATACTACGAGTCATGAGGTGGGAACGTTACCTCTAGACTACGGAGGCCGCTTTCGAGGTGATTACTCTCCAGCTGTGAATTTTCGTAACAACCTTATTTCTTATGGTGAAGAGTTGTTAGCCCCACTCCCAACCCCCAATCTGGAGGACCACCCCTTGTTGGCTGTCTCGTCATCAAAATGCAGGGCAAAATCATGGCATAAAGATAGGTAACAGTTGTTCTGAAAATGTGGCACAGTTCAGATAT